GCATGTTCTAGTACACCCCCAAAACAAAATCAAGACTTTGTAAAAGAGCATAATAGGACCCCTTTAAAAAATAAATAAATTGTGAATTGAATGTGAAATCAAAATCGTGAATCGAATCGAATTGTGAGTTGAGTGAATCGTTACATCCCTAAAGAACAGCATTTTTTTAATAAAAATGTAAACGTAATTAATTTAATGCATCCTTGCTGAATAAAATTATTAAATGTCTTTTAAAATGAATGCTAATTAATTTCTTTTAAGCATTTATTTAAAAGAAAATCGGTAACACTTTTATTTTAAGGTGTCCTTGTTACACATATTGCATGTACTTACTATTATAATATCAATTAATTATGCATAATTACATGCATGTAACCCTAAGCCAAACCTTAATCCTAACCCTAACCATATAGTAAGTACATGTAGTTAATTAATATTACGCAGTGCTTAAATGTATAATTACACTGTAACAAGGACACCTTAAAATAAAGTGTAACCAAAAAATCTATTTAATACACCCTTACATTAATTCATCCTTGTATCATTTCTTTCAAAAAATTCAAACCTTACTGAAAAATATTTGTGACATACTCTCCTGTTCAGGTTATTATTGTTAACTAAAACTATGAAAACATTTCAGTTTATTGAAATCAATTTTATTAAAATAAAATAAAATATAAATATTAGATGAAAAATGTATTTCAGGTATTTGCCAAGGCAACATTTCTCATTTTCATTTAGTTTAAGTTGAAGCACTAAAACTGCTAACTGGAAATAAAATAAATAAAAACTAAAACTGAAATAAAAATTAATTAAACCTAAATAGTAAGAGTAATAGTACTGGTCTTGTATAGTGATAGAAATTGCAAAAGCACACAACAAAATGTCAAAAAATTTAAATAACATGACGGAAGCTAAAAATAAAAGATAATTAGAAATATTAGTTCAAATTATAATCGTATATGAATAATACTATACTAACACTGGTTCAGGGGAGTGTACATAAAGATATACAAGACAAGACCTTAAATGAAAATGCCTATGTTAGACCATTTCCTTGGGTTTTTATAACCTTAAAGTCCCCCTGTAGTCAAATATTTTATTCCTTAAAACTTATCTTTGATCATCAAAATGATGTATTTAAATGTTTTTTCTTGTGAAAATAATTTTCTCATGCCTTAAAATAGCTTGAATGTAACTCTACACCCTTGCCTCATTTACTATATGCTGATCTATGCATATGCAAATTAGTCCCGCCTCCACTCAGTCACACCAGCCAGCGCCTCCTGATCCACTGAACTGTAGTAACCGCAAAACAATGGCATACACGGATAATGACTGATAAAACTATGTTTTTACTAGTGGACAACTACAGTGAATACTGTAACATTCGTTAAAGTTACTTACTTGACGATGTTGTGTCCTAAAATGCCTTGAAGACTCGAATGCAGCCGTTTGTGATTGTTAATTCGCACCCGCAAGTATACGCATGTGCAGACGCCGACGCGGGAGAGGTGCGTCTGACTCCGGGCTACTTTTACACTGTTGCCACGGGTTATAATGCAAGTTAGCGGTTCTAAATTCACATTAAACCACAGCTTCATGGGTTTTTTGCTCTGATTTATTTTTGGTTTTGTGCTGGTATTGGTATATTTTGCATGCTAGTGATAGGAATCGATCCCTTGACGTGATTGGTTATTGGTTTGTGACGTAGCAAACCAAGGGCTGTTTCAAACCATATTTCTGGGTCAGCCTTTGGGAAACTACAGTTTTAAGGAGAAAATACACAGCAATGGTGTTGATTAATAGATTGGCACATGGTTTGTCTAAAAGCATATTAAAAACACCACATAGACAAATAAACAACATAAAAACTTGATTTTCACTACAGGGGGACTTTAAGTCTAGAAGTTGAAAAATTTCATGTCTATTTTGTGTGTCAACTACCAACAACCAACAGAATCCCCATGGCAACAAGGCCTGTCACTCAAACCCTAAACATGGCTAGAAGCACATCGGGCCGAACTCCTCTTAAAAAGTCAGCACTGTCTGGTAAATGAATAGAAATGCCTTTAGCTGCTAATGAGGGGCCCTGACCGCATTGATCGGCCTCGTACCTTGATCAATCACGCAGGCCTCCTTGAACGTTTTGATGAATGAGGGGTAATCGCGCCAGTACAGATCAATGAAATCCTCCAGTTGCAGGTCCCTAATGAAACGAGAGAGAAAAAAATGATTAGTGGTAAAGGAGTCATCAGGCGGTCAATATATACACTAAAACTAGTATAAGAGCCAAACCAGAGCGTGACTCATACGGCACAGTTGAACTAACTGCATGATGATTGGGATCTGTGGTCTGACGGCTGTACATCTCAAGACTTGTTACTAATACTAACAATGGTATTCAACAATATTGTGAATATCACAAAAATTACAACATGGTTTTTATTTGTAAACAGAGTAATAAAGTAAAAAATACAGTAATAATGTTTGGGTTCATCTAAACAGGTTCTAAACATGATCTATCTTTGGGTACAACCTCCTGCTTCTTCCAGTTTCTCACAAAATATGGGCTTTACTTCAGTCAGTATGAGTCAATATACCATCAGATATATAAAAATGTGTACTGTCATTACAAATATTAATGAATGAAATGATAAATCCATCTTTGGTTACGAATGAATTGAGAATACAGGATGGTTTCAAACTGACTGTCAGCTCCATCTACTGAAGAAAACTCATAAATATCTGACAAAGTAGAGACATCTGAGCAATCTTAAAAAGTTAGGTGAATTTTTTTTAACTGACTTCTGTCAGGACATTGTAGAAATTAATAATATAAAAAAAAAAAACATTTTTCAACACAAGGTTGTTTTTTCCTTATTAGGTTTTATCTATTTGAATCTATATGAAATACATAAGTATGTTGATTATACACTATATTGACTATATATAAATAAATAATTTAAAAACATGTTTTATTTTATATATTTGATTATACAGATTGATGTTGAATACATATATAAATAACTGAAAATCATGCGTGTTTCATTTTATATATATATATATATATATATATATATACATACATACACACACATACATATACAGTATATATATATATATACACACACACGCTGCCGCTCAAAAGTTTGGGATCAGTAAGACTTGTAATGTTTTTTAAAGAAGACTCTTATGCTCATCAAGGCTGCATTTATTTGATCAAAAATACAGAAAAAAAAACAGGCTTCCGTTACTTAGGGGTTTATATTTCAAACTCATTGAAGTCATTGCACAAAGAACATTTTATAAAATTAATGGATCGCATTAAAATAGATCTTCAGCAGTGGAGCAGTCTTACACTATCATTAGTAGGTAGGACTGAACCAATTAAAATGAATATCCTTCCACGAATACCTTTTCTATTTCAGACTGTTCACATTTTTCTACCCAAATCTTTTTTTAAATCATCTGACGCCACTATATCCTCGTATATTTGGGCTGGTAAGCCTCCACGTGTACACAAGTCAACTCTTCAAAGAACCAAACAAGAAGGGGGTCTCTCTCTTCCAAATTTCCTTTTCTACTATTGGGCAGCTAATATTCAGAAAATATATGCATGGTGTAACTCCCCGGATATTAATTGGTGTATGATAGAAGCTAGCTCCTGCACATCATCCTCGTTACCAGCATTAGTTTTTGATCCCAACTTGCGGCGCCTCTCTAAATACACCACTAACCCGATTGTACTTTCTTCGCTTAAAATCTGGAAACAGTTTCGTCACCACTTTAAATTAAATACTTTATCCATTTATATGCCGATTTGTGGTAATCACCTTTTTACACCTTCGGCTTTGGATTCAACTTTTGCACAGCTCAGGGAGAAGGGTTTAGTATCGTTTCAGGATTTGTTTTCCGATCACATATGTGACATTCAATGATTTGCTGAGTAGATTCAAAATCTCCAAATCCAATTTATTTCACTATTTTCAATTACGTGACTTTGCTAAAGCACATTTTGCCACCTTCCCTCACCAGCCAAAGGAAACTTTAATTGAAGTTATAATGTCACTTTCGAAATCACACATCCATATTTCCTCAATTTATGGCCTGTTGCGCTCCTCACAGTTCCCTCCTCTTTTAGCACTCAAGGAAACCTGGGAGAGGGAGCTAGGACTGGATCTTGATGAAGAGTTGTGGAATAATGCTCTAGCTAAAATTAACTCTGTCTGTATTTGTGCTCGTTTGAATCTTGTTCAGTTCAAAGTTCAAATTCA